AATGAATAGACATATTCTATTGTCACAGATTCTGTTGTGGAATCTGTGTATTCCACAGATGCAGGGTACATCAAGTTGATTGTGGAGATTTAATCCACTGCTTCTGAGGCTGCTGGGAGAGATCTCCCTTTCTCTTCCGTGTTCGCACAGCTCCTGGGGTTCAGCTTTGGATTTGGCCCCACCTCTGCGTGTAGGTCACCTGAGGGTGTCTGTTCTTCGCTCAGACAGGACGAGGTTAAAGGAGCCACTGCTTCGGGGGCTCTGGCTCACTCAGGCCAGGGGGGAGGGAGGGGTATGGATGCGGGACGAGTCTGCCGCGGCAGAGGCCGGCATGACGTCGCATCAGCCTGAGGCGCGCCGTGTGTTCTCCCGGGGAAGTTGTCCCTGGATCCCGGGACCCTGGCAGAGGCGGGCTGCACAGGCTCCAGGGAGGGGAGGTGTGGATAGTGACCTGTGCTCGCACACAGGCTTCTCGGTGGCGGCAGCAGCAGCCTTAGCGTCTCCTGCCCGTCTCTGGGGTCCACACTGATAGCCGTGGTTCGTGCCTGTCTCTGGAGTTCGTTTTGGTGGTGTTCTGAATCCCCTCTCCTCGCGCCCCCCAGAACAATGGTCTCTTGCCTCTTAGGCAGGTCCAGACTTTTTCCTGGACTCCCTCCCGGCTAGCCGTGGTGCACTAGCCCCCTTCAGGCTGTGTTCACGCAGCCAACCCCAGTCCTCCCCCTGGGATCTGACCTCCGAAGCCCGAGCCTCAGCTCCCAGCCCCGCCCGCCCCGGCGGGTGAGCAGACAAGCCTCTCGGGCTGGTGAGTGCTGGTCGGCACCGATCCTCTGTGCGGGAATCTCTCCGCTTTGCCCTCCGCACCCCTGTGGCTGCGCTCTCCTCCGTGGCTCCGAAGCTCCCCCGAAGCTCCCCCCTCCGCTACCCGCAGTCTCCGCCCGCGAAGGGGCTTCTAGTGTGTGGAAACCTTTCCTCCACAGCTCCCTCCCAGTGGTGCAGGTCCCGTCCCTATCCTTTTGTCTCTGTTTATTCTTTTCTCTTTTGCCCTACCCAGGTATGTGAGGAGGGGAGTTTCTTGCCTTTTGGGAGGTCTGAGGTCTTCTGCAGCGTTCAGTAGGTGTTCTGTAGGAGTTGTTCCACATGTAGATGTATTTCTGATGTATCTGGGGGGAGGAAGGTGATCTCCACATCTTACTCTTCCGCCACCTTGAAGATCTCCCCTCAAATGAATTTATGCAAAGTCAATCTGACTTTACCTATACTTTTTCTTATGAAATGTGGGAAAGGGATGTATTAGCAGGGAAAGTGCCCCCCAGTAGACTAGTTGAGTGATTTTGGAAAGGAAGAGGCCCCGATGGTGGCTGTCCCCCTGGCCTTTAGTCACTGTACTTAGTATGTCAGCAGTCCTGTGCCCCCAGGCCATATTTTCAGTCCTTTGCCAACTCCATGGTACCCTCTCCAGCATACTGGTCACCTCCCCTGCTCCCTGGACCATAAAGTATCCTCACCCCTGCTCAGGGATGTGCAGGCTCTCTAGTCTTACAGAAGCAGCTTTGACAAGCACAGATGTTTCTTAGGCTGGAGGCTTTGGGTGCCAGGAAAATAATTCCTTGCCTATATTATCAGTTCTGTAAGTCCAAACTTCTGTACGTGAGTTTGCCTGGAATAAACCATTTAGATTGGAGTAAAAGGAGAGAAGGGAGATGGCTGGTATGTGTGGCAAGGTGAAGTGGAGAATAAAAGAGAGGGAATCTGTGTGAATGCACAAGAAAATATTTGCTTTAATACCACCTTGCTTCTGTAGAGCACTTTACTGTTATAAAGCATTTTAATGCATATGAACTTATTTTTAAAAATCTGTATCTCAGGCAGAACTGGCTGACAAGGGAAGACTGGAAGAAGTCGAGGCAACAGTGACAAGACCTGGGCTAGAACAGATGTGTCCCTAAATCACCATTTAAGTCTGGGAAGACTCTTAACTTCTCTGAGACTCAGTTTCCCTACTGATCAAACAAAAACTAAATTAGAACGAGGGCTTGGATTATCTAATTTCTAGAGTCCCTTCGACTCTGAACGTTGATGATGCCATTTGTTATAACAATGTGTTGTTGCATAACTGATTACAGTAGGGCTTTTGTGACACCAAGAGGGAAGTCAGACTTAATCTTGTAGAGGAAAAATGCTGGCTTAGAATGAGTTACAGATCTGCTGCTTACCCATCAGTTGTGTGACTTTGACAAAGCGAGTAACTTCTCTGAGCCTCAGTTTCCTAATCAGGAAATGAGGACAATAAGACTTGTCTTGTAGGGCAGTTGTACTTGTTAAATGAGATAGTGAATCTGAATGTACTTTTAAACTCTAATGACCTAAAAAATGTGATAATTTATTGTTATCACTATCACCAGCATGCAGAAAAATCCATTAGCCCTCTAAGAATTACCTAACAGGGCTTCCCCGGTGGCACAGTGGTTAAGAATCCACCTGCTAATGCAGGGGACACGGGTTCAAGCCCTGGTCCGGGAAGATTCCACATGCCGCGGAGCAACTAAGCCCGTGCACCACAACTACTGAGCCTGCGCTCTAGAGCCCGCATGCCACAACTACTGAGCCTGCGTGCCACAACTGCTGAAGCCCGTGCACCTAGAGCCCGTGCTCTGCAACAAGAGAAGCCACCACAACGAGAAGCCCGTGCACCGCAACAAAGAGTAGTCCCTGCTCTCAGCAACTAGAGAAAACCCGTGTGGAGCAGCGAAGACCCAATGCAGCCAAAAATTAAATAAATGAATAAATAAATAAATTTTTTAAAAAAAGAATTACCTAACAACAGAAACAAATGAATTGAGCAGCCCTTACTATTAGCCCAGCATAAGTCCTAACCAGGGAGTAAAGGCCATTCGCAACTCCAGGGAAAAATAGTTTAGCTTCTTCCCTGCTTTACGACATCCATGGAGTAGACTTCTGTGTGCCCCTCGCCCCTGCAAGCCACATACAGAAGGCTTAGGCTGCTAACAGTGATGATTTTCTCCACCGTGAGGGCAACGAAAGTAATCTCCTTATACAGATCTTTCAAAGACCAACAAAGATCACCATTTACATTAAAAATAATTATACCGTCGTACTTAGAAAGGCAACACCTGTTCTTCCAAACTCTGTAAAATGACGATGAGAGCACAACATCGTGACTGGAAATGAGGAATCTCGGTACGTTCTTTGGAAGCACCTGGTCTTATTTTAAGTTGCCTAATAAAAGAACTGACACTCCACTGCCATCCCCAGGTACACAGCCCCTCCCAGCACATTTGGGGCTAAGTGTTCAGAATTATGCACGCAGACCTATATAATAGAAGCCTCTACTCCAAGGTGATTTTTCACTCCCTTTCTTGGAATTACTATGTATTACATTGTTATGTACAAGGTGGAAAGAAGCTCATCTAAAAAGGGATAAACTTTTTTTTTTTCCAGGATGACCAAGTAACAGAGAGCCTTCATCTCTGGGCAATACTCAGGAAGTCTGTTGTTTTGTTTGTTCTCTGATGTTTTTGAGCTTGTCTGGGTTTTAAGCACTGGGTATCCTAGGCCATGGGTTTTAGCAGGAAAGTCTGTACATACAAATTAAATAACCTTTTTTTTTCAATTGAAGTAGAGTTGACTTACAGTGTTGTGTTAGTTTCCAGTGTACAGCAAAGTGATTGTTATATATATCTTTTTCAGATTCTTTTCCATTATACGTTATTACAAGGTGTTGAATATAGTTCCCTGTGCTATACAGTAGGTCCTTGTTGTCTATCTATCTTATATAGTAAATAAACCTTTAATTAATAGAATCTTACAGAAATCACAGCTTGCATGGACTGCATGTAAGAGGAAAAATAAATTTACTTTTAAAAACCTTAATTCTTTATATAATTTTGGCTTTTTAAAAAATACCTTGAAAATAAAAGCAAAGGTAGCAAGTACTTTAAGGGTAAGACACCACCTTACCCATCCTTGATAATTTCCAAAAGGAGGAGCATAATAGATGTTTGATCAATGCCTGCCAAATTAAATTACTTTAAAAGTTTCATAAAGAAGATACACACTAAATCAGAATAAGAGTTTACATAGCATTATTATAAAGGCTCCATCCCCAAATAAAATCAATAATGGTGTTAAGAGAAAGTGAAACTCTCTTCTAATGAACTTGATGAGATATCAGTTCTGTGCCTCATGGAAATTTGGGGCTAGAATTAATTCTTAATTCATGCCTATTCCTACTTCAACCTTGCTGATCATCAGAGATATATAATCAACAACTGGCATTCCAATTAGTTAAACTCAATGCATTCTTTTAAGCTCTAGAAGTATCTCTATAGGATGAAAACAAACAAGCAAAAAATATATCTATATATACATATATAAAGTTGTTGCAACCAATAGACTTAGGGATAATTGCTAGGAGTAAATGAATATCTTGTCACGACCAATAAATTTAGGGATACTTGCTAGAAATAAATGTCTACCTTGTCAATCTACCATTGTTTGCCACAGTTCTTTCTTTCCTTAAATGAATCATGTCTAACGCAGAACTGATAAGTAGTAATTGATTTAATTCTCTGAGTAACATGCATCTTCTGTATCCTTATATACAGTTTTGGCCCAATATATTTACTGCACTTTTTATTGAGTAACATGGAAATGAATGCTGAATTGGCAGCCTAATAATAAATGGCCCTCATGTTATCTGAGTTGCTCTCTTGCATTGACAAAAATGGTGATAAATTGGGTTGTAATTGAGAAAGAAAAGGAAGACGATTACTCCTGATGCTGAGATGCATTTATCCCCTGCCCCAGCCCTTACTGAACACGCGTGCTCCTCCATCAGCCTGCAAGATCAGCCCTGAAACAGAAAGCAGCCCAGGGTACCGCCCCGTCTGGCACACAGGCTCATACCCCTGCAGCCACAAGCTTGACCACGTGAGTGGCTTCCATGGGATGGGGGTAGGGGGTGGAGGAGAGCGCTTTACCTTCCTGCACACAGACGGGTTTATCACTTGGGATCCAGCCTAGGGTTCCGTTCAGATGTTTCATACACAGTCTCTTTGTAGAGCCCTTCAGCTTGAATCCATCTTGGCAGTGAAATCGGGTGACGGAGCTTTCAAAGAAAACCCCTCCGCTGGGCGTCCTGAAGCCATTCTCAGGGACGCCTGGGTCAGCACACACCTGAAGGTCATCGAACCCTACATGGACAGAGAGAAGAAAAGGTGCCTCTGAATATATTCTTCGGATGCTGAAGGTTTCCCATGATAAATGGCAGACACTGTATTCTTTCAGATGCTATGGGCCACCCAACTCCACCAATAAAAAAGCCAAGAAAATAAACACTCTAGTGCACATTTCACACTGCTCTTTGCTCTTTGCTTAGAAAAGCGCTCATTAGTAATTTCAGTTCCACGGTCAAGTTAGCCCTTCAAGGAGTTTCTAGGAGTAGCAGATGAGGAAAAGTAAACAACGGAAGGAATACAAAATGGTAATGTCGGGACTGAAGTACAAAATGCAGAAGGGAGCGGAGGAGGGAGAGGTAGTCAGGAAAGGGGGAGATGGAATCTGAGCCTGGCTTTGAAGGACGAGTCAGACTTCAAGGACAGAACCAACTTCGTGAAGGGGGACACAGGGGAATGGCTTGCGCAATGGCCGGGCCGGGAGACCGCGGGCGTGTCTGCAGAGCAGCAGGTGGCTGAGAGCGATACAGGGTTTGCAGAAGAGGCAGGTTGGCGATGCCCACCCTCCCCTGCCCCCTGCCCTCGGCCCCATCAGCCAGGCCTGGTCCACATTTCTCCTCCTCCGGGAGGCCTTCCTTAACCCCACTCTCCCTGTCCCCCCCGCCCCCCCCAATTTGTTCCACCACTGTAACGTGAACACAGCCCTGTACTGAATCATTTGGAGAATGATCGCCTCTCATTCTGGGTTATGAGCCCCTCGAGGGCAGGTTTTGAGACTTTTTCACTCTTGTGAAACCTATCACAGCTCCGCCTAGAAAGTGCTCCATAAATGTTTGATGAGTGAATAAACAGAGTTGGAAAAGGGAGAGGGAGACATACCGGGGAGACCCTAGAAAGCCAGGCTGAGCGAGGAGGCCAGTGTGGGGCCATGGAGCTGGGCAGTGGGGACGACGAGGCCGACAGTACAGCAGCCTGAGGGACTAAGTGGAGGAGAAAGGGCCCAGGGTGTGGCTGGGAGACCCAGGCAATGGTGCAATCAGACGTGGTGGGCCTGAGAGCACAGGAAAGTGCTGGAAACAGCAGGGAGGGCACCAGAGTGGGAGACATCCCGGTTCCAGGGGCCCCTTGTCAACTGACTGGATGTCGGGGTGGGGGAGACAGCCAGACGGCTGGGACGAAGGCCCGACTCTGGCCTCAATGAGGAGGAGAGGGCTGGGGTCACGGCCCGCACTGAGAGCTTCGGGCAAAGACATGACTGGGACCAGATCTGCATTTTTGAACGATCTTTTGTGTAGCCACACGGAGCTCATGGATGTCACGAGCTCATTGGGGGACCCCAAGGATAAGGAATGGGTCGTCTATGTGCACAGTGCTCCAACGTACCCTCCAAGGAAAGCAATGTAGGCGACGAGAGAGCCCCAAACTTCTGCGCACTACGAAGGCCTTCTACTCCATTTTCTGACAAAATCAACCAACAAATCCTTCCTGAGAAAGTACCCAGAATAACTATGCATGATTCCTTCCAGATGCGGGTTGGTGTGCCCGTCCACCCCCGCCCCCAGCGCAGCTGCTGGTGCCAGGTCAAGACGTGGCAGAGGGACAGGAATAGCCTGGGCCGTCTTAGAAAATCTCAGCCCAGACCGAGAGGCAGTATCACCAGGGCTCTTGGAGGACTTACATGGTTTCCAGGCGATGCCCAGATGTCAGACTCATGAGACATCTGATCCTCTGTAACCCACTGGGCTTGCAAAACGTCCTCAGCTGGTAGGTGATTCCCTGACCCCAACTTCCATGGGCTCATGAAGGGCTCACTTGCTGTCCTCCCCAACTGACCTCAAGACCCTGGACATTCTGCCAGCACCGCTGTGCTGAAAGCCACAAGACACAGCACAGTAGGCACCGTGGCAGCACCGGGTCCAGCAGTCATAACGTGCTCTCTCTGCCGAGGGCATGTGGCAGTGGACCAAGCGAAAAGTCAAGGAGGAAAGCAGGGAAGTGGAGAGCGTCCACATCTGACTCTATTACATCTTTAAGTGGGAGCAGGTCTGATACTTTATCAAACAGAAGACGCTTTGACAAAGGACACCATCTAGCCTCTCAGCCCCCCTGACACGCAGCCGCAGCTCTGCCCCGCTGTGAGCACCCTGACAGTGGAGGCTGTTTTCCAGCCCCTTGGAGGGTGATTAATACCCATCTGGGGGGAGGGCAACAAAGTACTAGTAGGATGGCTTCATGTCTTCGTTTCAAAGGAAAGCACTGTAAATTGTCAAGTGCTTCCTAAGTGATGAAGGTCAATGATTTCCTTCTGAGTCTGGCCGTCTCAGGGTGGGTCCTTTAAACGTATACCCATTATGGTATTGAGGGGGCAACTAGCAGCAATGGAATTCGTGATTCCATGCCAGCCCAGAAAGCCCAGAAGCATAAACATACAGAAACATGAATGGTCTGGACGCTTTCTGGCAGTCTGCGAGTGAAAGTCACTCTGACACACAGAGGCCGTGTCAGTCACTGGGCGGCCACAGAAGGGCAAGCCGAGGGTAAGAGGAGGGGACGGCCCTCTGGAAGGTCTGGGGCTGACTGCTCACAGCTAGGCAGACACCCGCCAGCCAGAGGGAGGAAGGGCACTGGGGGGGTGCAGGTCACAAGGCATGGAGATGGGAAGCCGCTGAGCACATTTCAGGGAAGAGGTCGTTCTGCCAGGCTGGGGGCAGAGTGACCGCCATAGGTGGAGCCCTGGGGTGGAGGGTGGCGAAGGGAGGGCAGGAGACGGCGACAGCAGATCCCAAAGGTTGAATGTGTTCGCTAAGGGTCTGGACTTAATGAGGAGGTTAGGGGTAGGGGCATGCCATGTACTGAGAGCTTCAAACAAAGACACGACTGGGATCAGATTCGTTTTGTTGAATGATCTTTCCTGTACTCGCAAGGGGGACGGACTCATCTAGACCAAGCAGGAGGCAGGAAGCTCAGCGGAAGTGTCTCCAGGCCACCAGCTGCACCGAAGGAGCAGCAGGGCAGCTTTGTAAAAAGACGTTCACGGATCCAGGCTCTCTCTGGCTGGGCTGGGACCCAGAAGTCTTGAGTTTTAGAAAGTTCTCTCAATGACTCTTAGGCAGCTGGTCCCGCACCTGCCCAAGGGAGGACCGGCATCTGAGAACTGTGGGACCTCAGGGCTCGTGCCAGAACTGGGTGAGAAACGAGGAGTCAGAACCAAGGCGGGCGCAATGGAACAGAAATAGGGCCACATGAGACACTAAGGACACAGAATCACAAAACCTGTGACCAACTGGATGGAGGACGGGGTTAGGGGAATGAATTCAAAGAGAGGCATCTAGGATAACGCCCGCGTTCTGATGTCGACGACGGCGTAGGCAGCGGGGCCGTGCACTCAGACTGACAGGACAAGGTGAAGACAGCAATGGTATGTCTGGTGGGGGGCCAGGCAGTTTGAGTTCTTGGTGGAGGGGGGACACCCAGCAGAGATGCCTGGTGATGAGCTGGAGGCCGAGTCTGAAGCTCCATGGTGCCCTGGGCTGGTGCGGGCATGGGCGGGTGCACCGTCCCGGGAACGAGCACAGCGTGAGAGGAGAGACAGCCAAGGCACCCACAAAGGACACCAGGAACACAGGGCCGCGGAGAAGGAAGACCTGACTGTGTCATGGGAGCAAGGGAAAGGGTTTCAGGAAGGAAGGAGCGGGCGGCAGGGTCAGCTAAGATCCACTAGGCCAAGTCTGAGAAGCATCCACTGGCTGGGGGCGGGGAGCGATGGGACCAGTGCCCAGGCAGCTTCAGGGACAAGGAGGAACTATCCCTGGGGGAGGACGCCTGCCTGCTGACGTTTAGCGGGGGGCAGTGAGAGTAAGCGTGGGCTTCTCTTTCCAGATGCTTAGTGTGAACAAAAGAACACAGGTTGGGAGTTATCCCTGGATTAGGGTCAAGGGAGGGGTTTGATTGTTGTAATAAAATTATAAGATGAAGGAGATTTGAATACGTCTCTACACAGCAGGGAGAAACAAAGATTGCAGATGACGGGGAGCAAAGGGGAGGCAAGAGGGGTAAGTTCCCTGCACCTGGATGTGGGCAGGGAGGGGACCCAAACCCTGGAGGAGGGATTGCCCTCCACTGGGGCAGGAAGGGGAGTTATGCCAGAACCTCCATGAGGGAAGCATGTGCCCCATAATGTGCTCATCCTCCAGGACTCAGCTTAATAGCGCCTCCCCCTGGGAGCCTTCTTCCTCCCTTCAGGCACCTGGGCTGACCTCTCTCAGCCAGCCCCTCACCCTGTCATTGCTGGTCTGCTTAGCTGTCTCTCCCACTGGGCTGTGAACTCCTGGAGGGGGAGATGGGGTCCTATACTTCACTTCCTCCTATAGTGAGTGTGAGCATTCCACAAGTGCTGCTAGTGAAGGATTGGTGGGTGGATAGATGGATGGATAGATGGGTGATGGATAGAGGATAGGTGGGTGGATAGATGGATGGAGAGAGGATAGGTGGATGGATAGAAAATAGGTGGGTAGATAGATGGATGGGTGGACAGGAGATGAATGGATGGATGGATGGATAGATGATGAGGATAGGTGGGTGGATGGCTGGATGGCTGGCTGGATGAATAGAAGATGAATGGATGGAGGGTGGGTGGGTGGGTGGATGGATGGAGGGTGGATGGCTGGATGGCTGGATGGATGAATAGAAGATGAATGGATGGAGGGTGGGTGGGTGGATGGATGGAGGGTGGATGGATGGATGGAGGGTGGATGGATGGATGGAGTCACATGCTCTGCTGCACTCATCAGGCAAAGATCCCCACCCCATCCCACCAAACAGTCACACCTACCACTCTGATAGTCCCAGAAGCTTATGTATTCCATAGACAAGGGAGGTGTGCATTCTCTCCCCCAGCACAGACACACTCTCTCCTAACACCCTCTCACCTTCCTCTCGTCTCCCAGCCTAAGTAGACTGCATTCCTTAGATTTTTATACCCTTCTTCCAATCCACATCCTCAGACACCTCAGCCTTCC